AAAAAAAAAAAAAAAAAAAAAAAAAATTAGCGAGAGCGCGAGCGAGAGGAGGGGGGATCGCGGCGAAAAATAAATAAAATAAAGAAAACGGCAGGAGCGGCTCCAGCCGGCGGCAGCAGGGCAGCGGCGGCGGCGGCAGCCGAGGCGGAGGCAGGCGGCAGGCACGGTCCCCTCGCTCCCCGCTCGCCCCCGGCGCCCGGCCGCCCGCCTCCCCCCCGCCCCCCGCCTCTCTCCCCGGCAGCCCGCAGCGAGACGCGCCGCTCCCCAGCACTTTTTTGGGCCCGAGATATGGCAATGGTAGTTAGCAGCTGGCGAGATCCGCAGGAAGACGTGGCCGGGGGCACCCCGAGCGGCCCCAACCCCGCAGCACAGCCGGCCCGGGAGCAGCCGCCCCAGCAGCAGGGGGGCTCGGCCGCCCCGCACACCCCGCAGACCCCCAGCCAGCCGGGACCCCCTTCCACGCCGGGCACGGCCGGAGACAAGGGCCCGGGGCAGCAGGGCTCGGGGCAGAGCCAGCAGCACATCGAGTGCGTGGTGTGCGGGGACAAGTCCAGCGGCAAGCACTACGGCCAGTTCACCTGCGAGGGCTGCAAAAGTTTCTTCAAGAGGAGCGTCCGCAGGAACTTAACTTACACATGCCGTGCCAACAGGAACTGTCCCATCGACCAGCACCACCGCAACCAGTGCCAGTACTGCCGCCTCAAGAAGTGCCTCAAAGTGGGCATGAGGCGGGAAGGTGAATATTTCTTCCCTACTATGCTATCGCTCTCCCTTCCCGTGGCCGTGGCAGGAGCGCGGGTGCGGGTGTGCGAGCGGGGGGCGGATGATGCGCGCAGGGGTGCGCGGGGTGTGTGCGCCCCGAGATACGCGACTCGCGGCGGCTATCCGGGTCCCTCCGTATTTACATGCACATGTCAATCTCTCCCTCTGCCTGCACTCCATCTGGCAGCCCAGCGCCAGGTTTTGTTGTTGCTGCGGATGGTGGTTGGCGATGTTTTCTTTTGCTTTTCGGTTCGTGCCTCCTGCCCTCCTCCCGCTGCTCCCCACCCCCTTCCCCGGCCCCGCCGCTCTCTCCCCGTCCCCGCTCATTGTGCCCGGGATTTATCACCACGGTGCTCGCTACACGTTTATCGTGCGGTGCCCCTTCGCGTGTGCGTGTGTGCGCCTGCGGTGGTGGATGTGGTTTTGTCTATTGTTGGCATGAGCCCGGGGGTGGGGTGGGGGGAGATGCATCCCTCCGTACGAGATGTGCTCCCATTCAGCTTCCTTTCCACCCCATCTCCCGCCCCACCGTTTCTCTTTAAACCCAAACACTTCTCGGTACTCCATTCTCAGGCTCATTTTTTCCTGAAAGAAAGATGAAGGACGTGTAAGTAGGCGAGAAAAGAGTAAAGGGGGAGAACGGGGGGTGAACAGGGGGGAAATGTGGCACGGTCTCCCCTTTGCCGGTGCCCGGACCGTGCTGCTCCGCGAGGTTTGGCCTTGTTTTCACTCCACGCGTTGTTCAAAGGAAAGTTTGGGAGCGAGCTGGGTTCCTGTGCTCCTGTCATTATTATTTTTTTTTTTTTTTAGCACGCTGCTCGCTTTATTTCTTCATCAAACTCCACCCTCTCCTTAAAGCCTGCATACAAATCGCGATTTATAACCTATTTACCGATCCTTCTCCTCCTAGCAGAACTCGCGGCTGGCAGCAGGCTCCGCGCCCTCCAAGCGCTCCTCCGCTCCTTCCCTTCCCCTTCTGCTTCTTCAGCTCTCCCCGCGTTCCCTCGAAGGAAGGTCCCTGCCCTCCTTTTCCCCTGGTTTCCCGGTTTGGCCGCTGGAGTTTAACCCTGAGATTGAGCTAAAGGTGTCTGAGAGCCACAGCAACCAAACGCTGTGTCCCGCTGACTGTCGCAGCCTTCATGGGCTGTAACACTGTATTTTGTGTTGCCACAAGAAAGACAAGGGTGCCGCTCTAGACCTGAAGTGTGACGGCCTCGTTGGTAGCTCCAGAGGCTGTAGGTCTGGAGGAAAAATGAAAGGGGGAGGTGGGGGGGGGAGGGGGGAACACCCAAAAACTTGGAATTGTGCTCACAGTTAATTGAAAAATCAGTGCTAAATTTAAGGCAGAGCCATGAGGCAGAGGTTGGCCGAGGGCAGAGGAGGGAAGGTGCGGCCCACGGGACGCGTGGGAATAAAGGGGAAAGTTGTGGGAGTGTGCCGCGGCGGGACAAGGGACGGTGCGCCGTGCGGGTGTGTGCGGGTATCTGTGCGGGGACCGGCCCCAGCAGCAGCATCTCTCCCGAAGTTACCTTTGTTTACATGGCATGCGGCTGAGAGCGCGGTGTGGCACTGCTGGAGGGAAACACACACACGCTTTTAAAAAAAAAAAAAAAAAAAAAAAAAAAACTTTGGTCAGCGCTCGGGACTGGCGGCACGCTCACGCTCTGTGCGGAGATGGTTAATGAATCCGGTGTTTTTGCAGTTGCAAGCCTGTGCATTCACTGTGCAACGCTGACTGCAGGCTTTTGCAGTGGCGACAGCGCACCAAAGATATTAATTACACCGTCCCCTTTTTTTTCCACGAATGTTTGGCTATTGTAAGTGCGGACCTTTTCGTCTCCTTTCCCCCCTTTTCCTCGATAATATTTAATCTTTCTCTTCCTTTCAGCAGGGAGAACTTTGTGGGGCGGGGGAGGGGGTGCTCTCTGGACAGCTGGGCAACAAAGTTAGCGGTGGGAGTGGGGGCTGCGACCCGCTCCGCTCCGGGGGAACGAGGTGGTATTACAGAAGAATACAGACGCGTTTATTTTATGATTATTATTATTTATTTATTTATTTTCTGAACAAGCAGCACAGCGGTTGACTTGTAAATCTCGGTGCCAGCAGCAGGGCGATCGGCCGGGATCCGCAGCGAGCCGGGCTGTGCTTAACAGCTGGCTGTGATTTTTAACCCCACTTTCTCACCGCCCGGAGGATTTCTTTGATTTTATTTTTACGTGCGGGGCTGCCTTTTGTCGCGGGAGGGGAGGGGGCCGCGGAGGGGGGAACGGGTTTGCCTTGTTTGCCTTGGCTCTTTTTTTTTTTTTTCTTGTTTCTTTCTTCCTTTCCTGCTTTCTGCTTCTTTTTTTTTTTTCTCTT